ACGCTATAGAGGACCTTATTATAGTTACTCTCTAGGCTAGTAGTAGTATTAGCGAAGATTATCTTAAGTTAGCGTAGGAATTCGCGTGCCTCTTTAATAGAATCCCTTAAAAATAGTTTAGGATCCTTTATCTTAGGTCTTACGCCTACTCCGCTACGCTTAAACTCGAGGTGCTTATAGCATCCGGATCTTCCTTATATAAGAGGCGCGTAGGTACGCCGCGACGGGGTATAGTAGTAGCTACGCCTACGTCGGCGCGGTTACGATTACGCTTTATTTATTAGACTTCTAACTAAAGTTAGCGAATCGTCTCTTACTACTATAGAGCCTAYTTCTCGCCTTCGAGGCGCTAGATTATCTTATTAGCCGTCTCTTCCTTATCGCGTTCGTTTTCTCCGTAATCTATCGTATCTTCGTYTAGAGTAGGCTATATAGGCTCTACGGTAGCGACTTCTTTAATATCTCCGTAGTTAGGGAGTTCTTCGACGCGTTCTTCTTCGTAGCGCTACTCGGAAGTAGTCGCTTCGCGGGCGGCGCGCCTAGGGGCTATTCCGTTAGGATCTAATAGATCGCTACTCTTAGAGAGGAAGAAGAATTAGAATTATAAGGGTAAAGATGTAGTAATATATTAGACACCCGTAATTACTTAATTAGAAATAAGACTAATTCTTATAGGTTAAATGTGCGCTATACGTAGGAGTTATATATGCGCTAAGCCTACGCTAAGCAGTTAGGTTATATTACACTCCCTTCTCTAAGGTTAGTTAATCTAGCTACCTCTATTAATCCTATTATTACAAGGGCTCTTATACGGCCCTTATATCTAGCCCTCTAGTATTTCGTAGTATCGATATAACCTAGCTATAAGTATAGTAACTTAGGCTTCTTCGCCTTCTTAGGCTTTTATACGRGTAGTATAGAGGAGGGAGGAGAATATAGGTAAGTAGTAAAGGGGTAGTATAGTAGTAGGAGTAGTAGGTATTAATATTAGTGTTTAGGTATTAATAAGAGTCGCTAAAAGAGTAGTAGGTCTTTATCCTGCTACTCTTTTAGAGATCTTACTTACTTATATAAAGAGTTATATAACTGCCCGCGTAATGCTATTATACCTTTACTTTATCCTTACTATTATTACTTAGGTATCGTAGACTTAAATAAAATTACTTTAAAGAAGGAAAGCGAGGACATTATATACGTATATTAAATTACGCTACTTATTACTTATTATACGGAATACACCTTTAATTACCGAGGTTCTAATACCCTATAATGCTAGCGTCGCACTATCGCCTAAAAGGATTGTTACAGAGTTGTTCTTAAAAACGCGCCGTACCTAACTACCTATTTCGACAATGCTTACGAACGGCTAGCTTACTAAGAAGACCGTTGCAAACGTTAGGTACTAATTGAGACGTCGACTATCGAGAAACATGAGAATTCACTCCAAGACTTCACTTCATTCTATCCTTCCACATCGACGAAAGTGCCAGTTCGAAGCTGATATGTGGAAATCTCTCGTTGGCAAAAGCCGGTAGACTCGCTGATCACGATACCTCCTCGTCAAATCAAACTGTCGCCAAGACTGAACGTGCGGCATCATGTCGTTCGAGCAGTGGCTCATCCAAGTCAAAGGCTCATTGTGGTCCGTGATAAGCCCCGGGGAATAGTAATATCTTCAGTATATGCTTCTGTAGCCCAATACACATGTGAGGACTGAGGTCGATGTCTCCAAATCTTTCATGTGCTCGGAAACTCCTGTCGTGACCATAGAGGACTTTCGTACAGTGCGTCTTGCTCAGTGATATGAGCTGGCCACGGCCTCGAAGATACCCCTCAACGCCCCTTTCTCGAAATCTATCAGAACMGAATCGTGGTTGGTGCCAGGATATTCAGTGCTGGACACTTCAATGACATCCTCACTGGCCAGGGCCCAACAGTTCTCAAAATAGTCTTTTCCGCCTTTTCCGATCATAATGTCAGAGCCCGCAAAATGTATAGATACCTGGAGCTTCGCTTCGGTAGCAGACTGACCACGTCGTTCCCTCTCTTGCTCGGATAACTCCTTGACGTATTGCTGGTAGTTCTCGCAGACGCCCATTAGTCCATCGCCGTTACTTTTCAAACACAGGCGAGCCTCGTCGTTCCCTCCTGCCATTGACTCCGCAAACATATACTTGCTCTGTAGTTTCTCAATTTCCGTTCCTACTTCCTCGTCGCCATACTTGTCCTGCATGTCTCTACTACTAGTAGCTTGCGACTCGGCTTGGAACAACTTGGAGACATCGCTAAGGACTCCCCCTGACCAGGAAGCTGTGGGAGCCACCCGCTGGTTGATGAAGCCTACTATGTTGCTCCACGAAGACAGCATGCCTGTTGGCGGTTTTGAAAGCACCGTTGTCATGGCCATCTTTGAATGCTCGCTATGTACCCATGGAGCTATGAATCATTAGCACGTTGCCAAAGGGCCTTGTCAGTAGATCGTACCCAGTAGAGCGACATAAGGCGCCGAAGGGCTCAGGAAGTCTCGATGATGAAATAGTGTATTCAAGCAGTACACCGTACCGGCCGAATGAGATACAAGAGCCACGCGCTTTACTTTGAGCCTTTTTAGAAGCAAGGGAACKGTCTCTAGCCAGACCTGTACTCGATGATTGACAGGAACTGGGGTAGATCCTCCGAAACCTGGACTGAGAGCGGATCAGCTCAGCGGCGACGATGAACTAGATTTGCCTACCGGTCAACGCAAATACACCTAACTTTTGTCGCCCGGGCTAGCCTATCAAAGGTCGAAGCATTGTAGCGGGTGCCGAACATAGGTCCTAAGAACAAAATGACTGGCAAGTCGTGCTGATCAAAGTTGCTCGTCGTCGCAAAGGTAACTCGTAAACTTTCCTGGGCGATCGTTTGCGGTACATGTAAACGTAGACTTTGGTGAAGATGCAGTTGAGCCAACCGGCGGATTGCTTCCGTGGAGGCATAATCTAGTGACGTCGAAGATTGTACGTTTGAGGTCGACGGTGCCATAGCTGTGAAGATAATATGTTGCTGTTACAAAGTAGGTTCGTAGGTATTGGGAGAGGATAACAAGGACGAGGACCGAGGCGAGGTGACCAACTTTGCGGACTTGCTTATTAACCCATGGATCTGCACGCGTTTACCAGGCACCTGCGGAGCCCGCTGTTGCATCTGCACCGTGCCGCACAGCTACTCCCCCTGCAGGTCGTTATGTACCAGCAGCTCCATCACGCCCTTGGAAGTCGAAAAGAAAAGCCGGTACTTCGGAGTGGAAGGATCGCAGCGATGAGATCGTATTCGAAAGCTCTATCGCAGACCATCTTGAGTGCTCCATCGTGCTGTTGCTTCCATTGTGTTGTTGCTTTGCTTTTGACCGACAGGCCAACTGCTCATGTTTCCCTTTCTTTCCCGTACTGTCATATTCAAACGAGTGTTTAGCGTACGCTGCATTCCATACATGTCTTGAAGATCCACCGAAATGAAGAATCATCTCATTTACGCACAGAAATCATTATTTCCACTTCCTCCATCGACGCAACTCAGACCCTGGCCCACGCAGTTCTGTATGACTTTAACATACTCACACTCTACACAATCARACAGGGTGCCTTCGATGGAATCCTGACGAACGGGGTAGCCTCCTGCGTTCAGAGCCGCTGAAATTTCACCATAGTAATCGCCTGTTTGTACGTGTGAGTTGGGAAATCGGCATAGGGAGCAGGTAACAAGAAGCACCTTTTCTGAGCAGATTCCAGCCGCAGTAGTTGTAATCACTATCGCAGCAGCTCCCGTAGGCGAGACTTCCGAAGACGGCAAAGCTGAGGACGGGGAGGAGAGAGAATTGCATTGTGGCTGGGTTGGAATGGTAATTGAGGTCTTGATCAGAAAGTTGAGATTGTTTCCGTTCGTTGCGTTTGTTGTTGTTGGAAGTGACTCGGCGGGGACGATCGCGACATCTTTATATGGCTTTGCTCAGCACGGAGCCTCAGTCTGGCCGTGGCTTTCCGGTGTATGGTCTTCGCATGCATAACCATACGAGAGTATGATCTGAACACTCAGGGGTGATGGTCGCACATTGTATGATCATGAGTAAGATCTAGATGCTCCAGATATGATGGGTGGGTCTTGCAAGTCTCCGCAGTCGATTCAGTATGTAACATTGTGTCAGCCTGGACACGAACGAACAGGCTTCACCGGTATGAGATCTCTCCATGATTGTTGTTCCTGTGCTCCTTGCCCAGTCTATGCCAAGATTGGATAAGCAGCCCAAGCAGCACAAGCGCTTTGCAGCCGCATACTAGTACTAATCTTGGCACGATGTTCGTAGCACATGCAGTCTCACCTCGCCCAAGTTCCGGGGTTGCTGAATAAACATCTTCGTCAATTGGAAGAACGTTTCCAGCGCATGGTGTCCTGGTCGGTCGCATGGTGTCCTTCTCCGAGTGATGAGTCGTCTTCGTGCTCGAGCAAGACTAGGCCGTCGGAACATGGGCAAGACTTTGCACAACATGCGAATGCAAGTGTGAAGGCTGCGCTTCGGAGAATTCCGCGTTCCATGGCAGCTTCGTGCTCTGCTAGTCGTCCTGCACAAGAAGATAGCCTTCCGATCCGACCTCTGTTACATCGAGCAGGAGGATCAAACTCAGCTGGGTGCAACCGTCGAGTCTGAGAGTAATGTAAAACCAAAACCGTGCCATCTACTCACCGCAGCTTGGATGCTGCCGAGTAGACTGGTCAACCTTGGTGGAACTGCAGTATACACCGCTCGATTAAATTTCGCTGGAAGTTCCGCAAATGAGAGGAAGTCGAAGCGGCCGCAGTGGATCTTGCTGGCCACATCGCCACATCGTATAGTCGTTCCCTCCGAAGAAATGGAATCCGCGATGTCTCCTCTGCGAAAGCCATGTTCACCACTTTCCTCGCAGCGCAACCTTCACTCCCTCCAAACCCTGATTGCTCCACCGAATCATCCCCTCAAGGGCAGGACATGCTGCACCAACGCTCCCTGCCGACACAACGGACACATGGGCTGCTCCCTCAACCAGTCCGTCACACACGTCCAACAAAACACATGCCCGCAGGTAGTCACACTCGGATCCCTCATCGCCTCCAAACAAAGCGTACACTTCCTCCCCTGATCACCCTCAATCCACTGCATGACTTCCTCATTCTTGAGATCGTGACGATGGCCTTTGCCTCCTGCAACGAGCGGAGTGTGAGTCACCTGCGCGACACGCTTCTTGATCACTTCAGGATCTGTGCCTTGTGGTGCGGGCTCAAATAGGAGCGGGGTGGAGAAGTTGTTCTCTGTCCCAATCTCGATGCCATCTTCTATCACGGCAGAGCCACCGTTGAAGGCGTTGGTCGGGGAAGGTCCTGGAGCGAGTTGGACATTCTGATAGGTAGAGTTGACGTGCAAGTAACCCTGCACAACCATTTGGACTACAAGGAGGACTCCAAGAACTTCATACCCAGCCCTCTGGTCGGATTCTTCGAGTTTGCGCGTAAAGACATAGCGAAGGCCGAAGAGGCGTTTGGAGAGTTGGTAGTACGCTCCGCTGAAGTAGAAGATTGCCAAAGAGACGGCATAGACTGGTGCTGGAGAGGTAAGGGTGTCAATATTCTTGAGAACGTAGTCTTGGAATTGAGCACGCTTCGTTGGCGGGTTCTTCATACGGCTGGGAGATGAGACCCGACGGTGGTGTGCTTTCCGTAGCTTCACCTCCAGCTTGGCTCGGAGACGCTTCCGAAAGGCGGGTAGGAATCGTGTCAGAATGTACGGGAGGAGGACACTTGAGAGGATGTATCCAGACCGACGGATTAGAGATGGCAGACGATGAGTATCCGTCTCGATCTGGACAATATCACAGTACTCCTCTCCCAGCGTGCGGTTCCCCAGGAATGTGGTCAGTCCCAAGTAGAGCATCTCTGTGAAGACGGATGCTTCCGAGTTCCATTTGTGCTCTGCTCGGGTGCCATAGATGGAGCGGATGACGGCAGAGAGCTGCGTGAGCAGAACGGATTGGAAGTAAGCATCTTTCTGGTTGGAGCGGATTATGTCCGGTGCTGCGGCGTATGGATAATTAAAGGACTTTGTGGCATCTCCGCCCGTTGTAGGAGAGCGTCCGGCATCGCGGATGTGGTCTGACATGGCTTGTCAAGGTGTTTCTATCTTGATATCGGATTGAAATGACGGCAGCATGGACAAAGGTCGGGAGTGAAGACGCGTTTCACCGCCGCAAGCCTCGGCACAGCTTGCCCGCGGCCGGGGGTCAGCCCTACAGTGACAGCAGGGGCAGCCGGGTCGTCATGCCACATGCAGAAGCTGAGCATGCCGATCCTCATGGAAACAGGAAAGTCAAAGCCCACATCATTTCAATTTCCAGCGTGGCAGGATCAATGCGAACCAGTTCCTGGCAGCCTGCTTCTCAGGCTCGTACCTGGACCTACAAACGCAAGCGATTGTGGCTGAATCCACCCATATCATCTCAATATAGATGAGAGCGCCACAGCACGCGTCGTCGCGTCCCCATGCACCGCCCATGCACCGCCCATGCCGATCGATCACCCGTGAGATCGGCCTCCACGCCGGCTTGGAAACCGGGCGACGGTTGACTCTGACATCATCCTCGCGTTGAACAAAAGAAGGATGCGAAAGGATGCCGCGTACTAATGAGCTTGGGATGAAGTAAGGTAAGGTAGGCACGGTTGTCGYCACACTAGGCTGAGTGTATAAGTTTGCTGCTCCTCCTTGACCGCTTTGTATAGATTCTTCCGCTTCCTCATCAGCAACAACATCACCTTCGACCTCTCAACAACAGCAACTCCTTCAACCACACACAACAACACAACATCAATCATGCTCTTCTCCCGCTACGCCCTCCTCGCCCCAGCGGCTGCCGTCCTTGCCAATGGCCAGGTCCTCAGCGACATCACATCCGTCTTCGGCGAAGTATGTTTACCCACCGCTTCACACTGGCATCGCGGCGCATACTAACAACTCTTCCAGGCCACCTCAGCAGTAGCATCGGTCGCAACAGGCATAGCCTCCACCGTCGAGAGCGTCGCAACCGGCGTTGCATCCACCGTCGAAAGCGGTGCCACGTCCGTCTTCTCCGAAGCCACCTCTGGCGCAGCAGGTGCCTTCTCCACAGCGACCTCCGCGGTCGAGAGCGTTGCTACCGGTGTGGCATCTACTGTCGCGAGCGGCGTCACATCCGTCGCCTCGGACGTTACGAGCGGTGCGGGTGGTGCTTTCTCAACAGCCACGAGCAAGGTGGACGGTGCTGCTTCCTCGGCTACAGACGGTGCGGGCGACGCATTCTCCTCTGCTACAAGTGGTGTTGGCGGCGCTGCATCATCTGCTAGCTCTGTCCTCGACGGAGGCGCCATGGCTACCGCTGTGCCAATGTACGCTGGTGCTGTGGGTGCTGGTATGGCTGTCCTCGCCATGTTTTAGATGCTTTCTTGGGGAAAGATCTTGGAGGTGGTGATATTGGAGAGACACCGGACTTTGAGTCTTGGACAAAAAATCGACAGTATGGATGATTTGGTCGATATGGACAGCTTGATGTGTTGCGATTAGCGATCTGTGCGATAAGCGTGCATATGATAATGAATATTTAATGAAGGGCTTGCTCTTCCACCTCTTTGATGGTTGCTCATGGACATTGAACCAGGCTGAAGGTTTGCTTTCTAAATGTCCAATTTTCATGATTCTTGGTGTCATTYCAGGTGGTTGATCGAGAACATGATGTCGGGGAAAGCTTCAAGTTAGATCGCACCTTACACCATGATTCATATAACTAGGTTGTCATGTACCAGCACGGAGGTTGTCCCGACTAGACATCAATTCTGAAACTCCTGACAGCACAGCATAATAGAGATTCAGTAAATAGAAGAGTCAGTTTCCTGTTCATGGTTCTTGGTTCTTAGTGTGCCGTTTCCCCAAATCCCCTTTCCACATTGCTCTACTATCTCGAGTCTAGGTCTTCTAAAATACAAATCAACATAATAATCCCAACAAAAATCCAAGATACGAACAGCAATAACCATCTAAACCCACTCTTCGTCATAAGAAACACATCTCGTAGCCAAATATCAAAACCACACCTATCTACAATATCTTCATCGCTCATAATGCCAAAATTCCACTACCCAAACCCTAACCCTCAAAATCTCCCTTTTGTAAATTCCCTATCACCAGCGGGCAACAAGCAGCTTCAATTGTCTTTTGTTCAAACTTAATACAACACAACACGACAAGATAAGATAAGATACCTTGGATAGATCCAATTGAACATGCCGATGGAAAAAGTATGCATTTCTCGCTCAACTCGCTATGACCAAACAAGAAAAAGGAAAGACGCCACAAGAAAGAGACTCCACAGTCTTCTCTTCTACACGCTGAACAACAACAACAACAACAAAGACGAACAATCGGTCCATCCGTCTGTCTCTGCTTACTTCTCTGATGCTCTCTCGATTGAGCCGACTGACCCTGCAGCAGCATTTCTGTTTCAAATTCCAATCATTCATGTCCATCAATAATTCATGACAATCACCCAACCAACTCATCTCATCCCATCCCATCCCTGGCCACATCCACTCTCCCAAGCTCTTCGAGACCACGAGAAAGATCATCACGCATCCTCCGCCTCAACGCGACAGAGGACCTCCTCCAAGAATCCCTCCAACACTCCTTCTACTCCATCTCCCATACCCACAGGCGCCACTGCATCCCAGTGATCAATCTCTTTGAACAGTTTGGCGACCTTGGACATGCATTTCCTGATTTGCTCGTGGGTCTGTTTCTTCAGCAATAAATCTGCCTCCGAGGTGCTGTTTCTACTAGAAGAGGAGTTGTGCTTCTTCGTCAAGAGGGAGAGTTGGTAGCTTCGTCGGTGCATTGCTGCTTCCAAGGCCGGGAGGACGACCGATGTGAGGGCTGTGATTGGTTGCTCGCCTCCATATTCATGAGACGGTGGTGTTTGCTGGGGTTGGTATGCCGGTAGCTTGGTTGAGCATGTCTCGACACTGCKTGCAGATTCTGAGGAGGAGCGTGGTTCACTATAGCCTCTTGTGAGTTGAGCGGGTCGTTGTTCGTGCCTCACTGACGTGGGAGGAGGTGCAAAGCTTGGAAGTGGTTTCTGATACAGTTCATTCGTTGTCGTGGAGCTGACTGGGACAGCAGCCGAAGGACGGGAGGAAGAGGTGGCACCGTTCATCCCAGCAATTGGCATGGACGCGGTGTGTTGTAGTTTCGGTGCGGGAATGGGACCATCTTTCAAGGTTAGACCTTTCATATACTGTGACATGTCGCTGGCGATGGATTGCTGGAGGAAATCATCATTGAGAAGTCGTGGTGTTTGTGGTGTTGCTGGTGGCTGTGGAGAGGGGTGTACTTCGCGATGCGGTGAGTGTGGTGGAGTTTGGGCGACGGTGACTGGTTTGCGGACTGGTGTAGGCGGGAGAGGAACTCTGGCTGCGAATCCAGGAGACGGTGGTGGAGCCGACTTTTTACTCGGCGAGGGTGTCTTGGGTAGAGGCGGAGGCAGCATTGAGCTTCGAATAGTGTTGCCGCGTGGGATATGCTCAGTAGGCTCATCCCATGCATTCTCCTTGTTTGAAAGCGAACGTTTGGTGGGCGACGGTGGGAGCTGCGAGCTACGAGCATTCATTCCTGACTCGTTCATSGGTCTCAGTCCAGGAGGAGCGTGTGCGCGCTTCCCAACTGGTCTGACGGTCCCAAAGTCCCAAAGGTCCTCCTGATCGCTGTCCCGTGTTGGAGAGTAGTTCGATGCATCATCATCATCGTCATGGTCCTTGTCGTCACGATGCGTCGCCTGCCATCGCTCGTGCCGCTCAATCAGCTCCGTCAAGTATGCCGTCCGCTTCGCCCTTCGAATCCACGGATGCTTCAACAGATCACGCGCGCTCGGCCGTTCCCGAGGCTCTTTCCGCAAACATCGTCCGACAAAGTCTTTGAACTCTCTGCTGAAGCTTCCTTCCAAGACGGGAGCCGGATTTTTCGGGATTAGGAATAGGACCTTCATGGGATGAATATCACTGTACGGCGGCTCACCCAACGCCAATTCCAGTGCTGTGATTCCCAATGACCAGATGTCGGCTTTGTGATCATACCCCGACTGCTTGATCACCTCCGGAGCCATCCAAAAGGGCGTGCCCACAAAGGTATTCTTCTTGGTCATGGTGGCCGTCAGCTGTCCCGAGACACCAAAGTCGGCCAGCTTGACCTGCCCGTTTGCGCCGAGGAGGATGTTGGCAGCTTTGATGTCTCGATGTAGCTTTCCATCATTGTGAAGATATTCCAAGCCCATCAGCAGCTCCCGGATGATGATGCAGATGTAGTCCTCGGACAGCACACCAGGCTTGAGCATGTCGCCGCAGCTGCCACCGGAGCAGAACTCCATGATAATCCACAGATCGGAGCCCTTGAGGTAGGAGCCATAGTATTTGGTGACATAGGGCGAGTTCAGWCCGGCGAGGATGGAGATTTCCTGGATGATGTCGTCCACCTCATCGTCGGCATTCTCCACGTCGATGATCTTGATGGCGACGCTCTGTCCCGTGCGCTTGTCGACGCCTTTGTAGACCTTGCCGAAGCTTCCTCCTCCTATGCATGCCTGTTTGGTGTAGAGGGATTCCGGGTCGGCGTGTTGGGTTGCTGGCACTGAGGCCATGATTGCGGGCGGTGTGAATGGCGGAAGTCGGTAGGTATGAAGAAGGTGAGGTGGAAGTCGACTCGATCTTCTCCACTGTCTCTTCCCGTGTCTCACCAAGACACGAGCTTCCAAGTCCAAGTCCAAGTCCAAGTCCAAGACCAAGTGCAAGTCCAAGCGTGCACGGGAGGGCGGAGGTCAATCTCCAATCGCAAATGTCGGTGCTGAGGTGCTGCACGATTATCCTCGCGTGGAATGTTGGGACTACAATCAACAATGCATCTCCCGACTTCAAGAATCCACCATGACAGCCTTCTCCATATAAAAGGACCGACGGACTGGTGCATGTACAATGGATTGTTTGTTTACTGTACCTTGCCTTTGAAACCGGGATGATGCTCGAATCGTTCATCCGGCGCGTCCAACAAACCGACAGCCACACGGTAGGTCCATATGATTGGCGCGCAAGCAAGCAAAAGTGGAGAACTTGTCACGTCCACACGTCCAACAAAGTTAAGTTTATGCCAGGCCAGGTACCAGGGACCAGCCCCAGCGAACCATTCATGTGACTCCATCCATCCATCCACATCATCCTATCATTTCTGGTTATTATTAAGATATCATCCCTCCGCGATAATAATCATGAAGGGCCTCGGCTGGCTACTGGCTCTCGGCGCATCGCCGCCGTTGGGTTTCGCATCTCATCTCCCGCAGCCACAGACACCGCTCGGGCTGGAAGATGCCCTTTCCATCACGGGAAAGAACAAACTTTGCCTCACTTCAGACCTCATCGCCTTGCACAAGAACCTCACGCAGATTGAATCCATCTCGGGCAATGAGAAGGAGGTTGGAGATTGGTTGGCCGCCAGTCTGGAATCTCAAGGCTATACCGTGGAGAAACAGTACATTTCCAAGGATCCCGAGCGGTTCAATGTCCTCGCTTGGCCGGGCGAGAAGCGTGATGCACAGGTATTGTTGAGTAGTCATATCGATACCGTAAGGATTCACCACGATTCATGTCTTCGCCACTACACACACCTTCTGATTCACGACAGGTCCCACCATTTCTCCCATACAAATACACAGACAACGGAAAGAACACCACAATCTTCGGTCGTGGGTCTGTAGATGCCAAGGGCAGCGTCGCCACCCAAATTGTCGCTGTCAACAATCTTCTCTCCTCTAACAAGATTTCCCCAGACGATGTCGCTGTTCTCTACGTGGTCGGAGAGGAGGTTGGAGGGATTGGAATGCAAACTGCCAATGATCTGAAGCTTTCCCCCAAGACCATCATCTTTGGGGAGCCTACCGAGGGCAGACTCGTCTCAGGCCACAAAGGAACCCAGCGAATCGTCTTGAAAGCCATTGGGAAGGCTGGCCACAGTGGTTATCCATGGCTGGGACGAAGTGCGAATGAAGTACTCGTCACAGCACTTTCTCCCCTCATCGGGTTGGGTGAAGAGTTGCCCAAGAGTGAAAAGTACGGAACCACGACGTTCAACATTGGCAAGATTGACGGTGGTGTCGCGGGCAATGTCATCGCCGAGTCCGCTACGGCGGACATTCAAGTGAGAATCGCAGAAGGCAATCCTAGGATGATCAAGAAGGCTGTCACAAAGGCTGTGAATCATGCTATCAAGGACTTCCTGGAAGATGGGAAACTGAAGCCTCAGCAGGTGCTAGAGTTGGAMTTCTCGGGCAGAGGCTACGGACCTGTGGACATCGATCATGATGTTCCTGGTTTTGACGTCTTTACTGTAAATTACGGGACCGACATTCCATGGCTGAAGAAGTTGGATGGACAGAAGAGGTATCTTTATGGGCCTGGCACCATCTTTGTGGCGCATTCGGCGAATGAGGAGATCTTGGAGAGTGATCTTTTTGATGCTGTGAAGGGGTATGAGAAGATCATCCTTCATGCGCTTGGGAAGGGAGAGTAAACTGGAGGAGGAGAAAGAGATGAGTATGGAATGGAATGGCGATTGATGGAGTGGTTTCGGCCTGTATGAAATGTGTAGATTTGTACATATGCTGACAATGAGCTAGTCACCGTACTCTCTCGTCCTATCACTCAGGCTGATTGGATATCAGTATGCGATCGCTTTGTCAAACGCAAGTCAAGACCCGAGCGCCTAACAAGCAGGACTCCACTCTTGGCATTCGGGATATCCCTTGTGTGTAACCTTGGAGCCTGGACTGATGCCTTGCGCATGTGAGTGTATAAACACCTGGGCAGAGCCCTCGGCATCGACCCTCGACCACCATCGAATTGAGAGCCACTCATTGGAAAACCTCTTGCTGATAATTCTGCTGTTCTTACTTCCTTGAAAGAGTTCTGACATGGCGGCACGTCCGTCGATTCCACCTCCAGGAGGACACTGTCCGTGGAATAAGTTGCCAACTCATCTCAAAGGCTACATACTCTGGCTTGTGGACGTGCCGGACAGAGAACTCTACATACGCATGGATCGCGGAAAATTCTACTACTCAAGCAAGAACGATAGTCCTCCGATCGAGGGCAACCCACTGTATGCGAAATTTTGTCGGGATGTGTTAGATCCCGAGAATGGGCGACCAAATTTCTCCAACCGAACAGGAAACTTCATCAACTGGGCATTGGAGAGATTCATCGGGCACACATTGATCAAATTCCGTTCTGCTGCCGACCATTGGTTCCTCGTGCAGGAATATCGCAGATCCGGATCCCCATCCTGGGTGCCCAATATTACCAAACTCTCGCTGGATCTGTCCCGTCAGGAGAATCTTGCCACTGTGAGACGTATTGCGAGGCGCATTACAAGATACGTATCTAGATCTTCTTCACTTCGGCTGCTGCGACTTCGTACGTCATCTTGTTTCTTTCACGGATCCTGCTGGGATTTCGACTCTCAAGCGTGGACTTTGAAAGATTTCAGCCAGTTTTTTAGACTTCCTTCGAGACCGCCACCTGCAAAGGTGGGTCCCACTCCGAGAGTCCACGTGCAGGAACTCATTGACGCACCTCGAGGCAAAATTCTCGGACGGAATCTCGCAACCTTCGGAACATGGATCATCCAAAATGCGACACCTCCGCAAGACATGGGTCTCTCAGAAGCGTTGTCAGGTGGCCCGCTTGCTTCAATACCTCCAGCGAATGGAACTTGTCCGTGGGAAGGTCTACCACAGGAGCTCAAAGATTACGTGTTCTATCTGGCATACATTCACTCGGATCAGCAGCTCCACATTATATCAGAAACACACCGACTCCGTGTGCAGGCACATCGGGCCCGCTCGGTTTGTTTCTGTTGTATGGATTACTCGGAAACTCATGTGACGCAGCGTCCAGAAACATATGTTGAGCGATTCTTGGTCTCTCGAAGATGGTTTGAGGTGGCTTGGAAACTCTTCCTCTCCCAGACGATGCTACAATGCCATGTGTCGGATGTGACGCAATTTTCGCCAGCTGCCACCGCAGGAGACCCATCGCTACTGTGGACGCGTGAAATTACACAACTGACGTTGTCCATTGATAAATCTGTGAATGAGGGACATCCTGGCATGGAGCATCTCAAGGACCTCACCTCACTGAAACATCTACACCTGCGCATCTCGCCCTTGTCTTTCTCGTATACGGATCCCTGGGAAGGAAATGTCACGCATACTTTGTGGAACGAATCCGAATTCGCGGAGTGCGGGAATCTGTGGAAGGCACCTCGCGGCTGCAGGATCACTGTCCAGGCCATTGACCACGGTTCGGCGGTGTCCTGGGTCGAACGACCGTCTGATCAAGGTGATGATCATAGTGCGTACGTAACACAGATCTTCGCGAGTAATATGATAATGTATGGACGGCTTCTGAACGTGCATTCGAATGAGCCGAGGTTGGAAGACGAGGATATACCGGAGACTTTGGAGGAAGCAAAAATTATGATTRTGATTAATGGGAGAGGACTGGTGGAGTTGTTGCAGGAAGTCAAACGAGAGAGGATGGAGAGGAAGAAGTTGGGAAGTTGAGTGAATGGACCCGATGCATGATGTTTGAGAATCAATCATTTCGCGAGCATCCTACCGAACCTAATCATCTTCAGTCGGCTACTTCGGTGCAGAATTGCTTTGGATGTGCAAGGAAAAGCCTCGATCTTGGCTGAGGTGGCAAGCTCGCAAAGAATCCTACTCCATGAGGAGGGATATGCTGTCCCTTGCATGTGTGTAACACTGCAGCCTGGCCGATTCCTACCGTCAAAACACCTTTGATTCTGCCCACCCTCTTTCCTTCCTAGCATGCCCACACACGCAGAACAACACAATATGCAGTCAGATCCCTCAATCCCGCCGTCGAATGGCAAGAGTCCGTGGAAAAAGCTCCCAWTGGAGCTTAAGGGCTACATACTCTGGCTTGATTACGCACCTGACGGAATTTTGCGCATAATCAAGGTAGGCTTCAACACTATGTTGGTCGTACCTCGCATTGGGCCATGCAACTATCGTCAGATGAAGAAGGGAACTCTTCAAGAAGCATTTGCTGAGGATCTCTACGATGAGACTTCACGTCGCGCCATCTTCAGAAACCACGAAGGGCGCTTTGTCGATTGGGCACTGGACAGATACGTTGGGGAAACATGGCTCATATTCCGCTCTCTTTCCGCTTACAAACAACTGATGCGAAGATATTATCAATATAAACCTACATGGACGATGTGGATGTCAAATGCCACCAAGATATCGCTGGACATTCCCGCTGGCGATCCGGCCGAGAAATCCAAGGATATACTTGGGGAGTTTGCTGCAGTGCTACCTAATATTCGGTGCCTGCGACTCTGCATATCGCCTTCCTTTTTCCGTGGAGCCTACAAGGACATTACAACTCGCATCTGGAATGCCGAGGACGTTGCCAACTTTTTTCGAAACACTCGGGTTACGAAAATGCATAGCGATGCCACTCTGGTGGTGGAGGGTGTCGTCGGTGGGCACCTCAGTGAGGTATTTGAGAGAAACCTCGAGACATATCGCCGATTTCTTGATGGAGATATGGCGGGATCGCGGCACAATCTTCGTCTCCCAACTTCATCGTCGGTGGTTGCTCCATTCTCGATTCCGCCAGTGGACGGGAGCTGTCCATGGCAGACCTTGCCACGGGAGCTCCAGGATGCCATCTTTCAGCTCGCTTACGTTCCTCCGACCAACCAACTCAATGTCATGACCGCAGAGCGATGGTATGAAATTCACGGTGAAGACTCTGGAGTCTGTCTGGTCTGTCGTTCTTGTGTACAAGGCACATGCGGGTGGTTGCAGGACGAGGAACCCATTGCACTAACGCCATTCATTGCCAAGTTTCTGATATCTCGGACATGGTTCAACAACAGCTGGAAGCTATTCCTCGCCGAAACTACACTACATTGTGCTCAAACCGATCTCAAATCCCTTCTGCCCATCCACGGCACTGGCGATGAGGATTTATCCTGGACTCAGGATATCACGCGCATCAGTCTGACACTCACCACGCACAACGACCAAGTGCTTCTGAAACGCCTCGAAGAATTCCCGGCTTTGAGAAATTTGCATCTCTGCTTCCACCCTTTCTTTTTCCAGAAACGACACAACAGACAGGACATCACGACCGTTTTATGGACGGAATCCGATTATCTCATGTGCTGGAATGTCTGGAGACCGCCTCCTACTTGCAACATTACGGTTCGAGCGATGAGTCATGTGGAGATATTCAATCTTCATGATATTTGGGCCAAGCAAGGGCGTAAATTCGGCCAAGAGTATATCCAAATCACGCAGATTTTCGCGAGTAATGTGGGATTCTATGGATGGCTTCTGGAAGTGCATGTTCGGCAGGAGAGGGTTAGGGATGAGGATATCCCGGATACTTTAGCAGGAGTGCAGGATCTTTGTGCGATTAATCCGAGGGGTATGTTGGAGTTTTTGCGGGAGGTTAAGAGGGAGAGGATGGAGAGGAGGATTTTGGGGCGTTGAGTGGTCGGTCTGGAGGGTGGAGTGGAGTCTATATGCATTTTCGCGTTTGATCGTTCTGCAGGTATGAGTGTCTCGCGGAGAATCCTGCTTCACAGTTCGGGCATCTGGCTAGTTGGACGGCAACTTGACCGTACAGTCTTGAGGTGTTTCCAGTCCCTTGCATCTGGATAACACGGCAGCCTGGAATGATACCTCAAGGCACTGATCAACGATATCGACCTCTGATGTTCAAACCGCCGATGGAGAATCACTCATTTGCCCTATCTCCCTCCCCTACTCTCGCTTTCTCGACGAACGCGCGGTGGGTGTCTCTGAGGGAGGAAAACATCAGAACGCCTTTGATGGTCGAATCCGACTTCCATCCATATTGGAATATATTTGGACCGTTTCATGCTGGCCGGAGGATCAGGGTTCTGCTGATAAACATCGTTTCTGATTCATAAGACCATCTACCGCGACCATCCTTCGCAGATCTTTGCAAGGAACTTGGTGATGTACGGCTTCTGAATATAAGTGAAGCAGCTAAGGGTGGTGAATATGACGGAGACCCGGGCGGAGCTGGAGCATCTCTTTGTACTCAATCGGGGTGGTCTGTCGGAGCTGTTGAAGGAGGTAAAGAAGGAAAAGACGAAAAGAGGGCTTCCAAGCTGAGTGATTGTTCTCAGCATCGTAATATTCTTTTACATCGGGCCTTCCAACGCTCCTGCTGGGTCTCTCCGCGGTGGAGGTTCAACAGGGGATATGAGGGGGGATATCGTACGGGACGGATATGGACATCACGCGCTTGGGCGAGGGGTGGGTGTCAAAGCCGCAGATTACATCCGACTTCCCAGCCATCGATTGACATCTTCCACTCTCGAGATTTGCCCGGCAGGGGACGAATTCGGCGGAAGTGCCGAAACTGTGCGGAGAAGTTTGCCACAGCTTGAGCCTTGAGGTGGGCCTTGAAGCCGTGAGTTACAGCCGAGAAGCCGCGATCGTTTTGCAGGAAGGATCAGTTTCTTGGCCAAATGTTCCTGCTTTTTGTTTTCCATCCTTCTCTCACATACAGTTCTTGATGCAGAGAAACATATTTCACGGGTATCCTTCGTAACTTCTTTCCAACCCATGGTCCTAGTCGGATGAAGCGAATCCGTCCGTTGGTTGCAAAAGGGGCATTCATCTGTTCATAACGCCTTCTTCGCGGCGAAGGGATTGGGAGACTGCTAGCGACCTGTCGTGTCATTGCCAGGAAATCAGGGTGTGAAGTGAAGTCGCTCAACTGATGGTGCTCGTCGTCAAAGTCGTGGTCACTAACTTCACTTGCGGACTCCTGCTCGATCAGCTCGGCCAGTTCGTCCATGGCGCGTTGGTCATCATCCCCCTCTTCTGATACTTCATCACCATCATCATCATTATCATCGTCTTCCACAGCTCGATACTTGAACCAGACGACGACGGTCTGTCCAGTAGAGCTCTTCATGGTGGACGCGCCTAGGAGCACAAGGGATCCGACCGAGCACTTCTGAGCGATCGTGACCGGAGTGAGGTCGGGGCCCTTCTTCAGGCGAAGCACAACATATCACTACCCACTCTTGAAGTGTTATGAATCCGTCAGTGCCTCATATCTCAGCCAGTAATGGGCGGGAACGGGCCGTCGAATGAGCCCGGTGGAGCCGAAGTCTACAAGGCCAAGCTTCATGTGAAGCCCGCCTGCGAACAAAACATCCACCACCCTTCGGATTTCAAATCACCTAAACACCAACACATCGACATCGAGCTTGAAGACCTTCCATCTTCACCATCACCACCATACCATTCAGCACCGCGCGCCACTGTCCTGCCAATTGGCACCACGCGCAGCACTGCATTACCCCTGAACTCGACATTCAGGCCACAACATCCAGGCCACGACATCGCCGACACCAATCAATCCGCGCATCTTGACCTGATTTGATTACCACTTTCATCTCGACATCTACCATAGTCGAGGACCCCGCGCATTCTGACCCGCTACAAACGCATTTCTCCTCTTCCACAACGATAAGTGCCAACATCCACATCATGGATCCCTCTCTCAACCCGTCCGTTCCGCCATGGGGTGGGTACTGCCCGTGGAACAAACTCCCACTGGAACTCAAGGACATGATCTACGATATTTCCTACGTTCCAGCGGGCAAGCTCCGCATACTCCACAAGGATACCTGGGCGGACCAAGAGAAGATGCGCAACATCTTCGAGAAGTCGAGCTTTCAAGCCATACCATTTCCCAAAAGCTACTTTGTGGAGCAGCTGTTCGTTTCCAAGGAGTGGTGCGCTCGAGCTCTCGAGTACGTTTATGCCCATGCGCACTTTAACGTCGGCGACCAGAGCACAGCACGTCACTTCCTGGACATTATTCCCAGGAGTGGGATTCCGGTGCCTCGAAAAAACGCCAAGAAGATTACCGCCATCACTGTACTCTTCGATATCCCCGCCGGTCGCTTCGATTTCCGAGACTACCGCTCCCTGCAGAAAGTCAACATCAGAATCTGCCCCGCGCTCTTTTTTATGAGCCTGGGCAAGGAGATCACGACCGAGGTTTGGAGCAAGGATGAGTTTGTCTCATTCCCAGAGACGGGGAAGATCCTGCAGCAGCTCGTTGGGATCAAATCCATCAGCATGGAAGCGATCTGGGACGACGACTATCCCAATAAGTTCGGCGCGTCGGAGGCTGTGTTCGAGGCAAACCTCAAGGTCTTCGAGGAGCTTGCTCGGGAGCATTCAAAAGTGCCTCATCCAATCACTTCTAAGCGACAGCATCATTCAAGATCGCCACCACTCTCCTCGTCGTCGTATTCACCAACGTGGTCATCGCCACCACTCTCACCAGCCTATGCGCCAGAGTCCCCGTTGCCGCCATCCACCCCAAACCATCGGTACATGGACGCCGCAGACGCAGACGAAGAAGACTTCTACATGTCTCGATCCGTACCCGCCTATCCCGCGACGAACCTCTTCGCGTCCGCTGCCCCAGGCCCGGCGGTTCAGCCTCTCGCAGACGCCAGCATCCCGGACAGCGTGGACGGGTTGAGACAGCTGGTGTATCAACAGGGCCCAGAGCTTCTCGAGTGGATTCGCGAAGCGAAGCGGGCGAAGCAGCTCCTCCTTAGCGACCACTGAGAGAGCGTGCTGTTGTGCTGTGAGCTGTTCATATAGTTGAGGGAACTGTTGTCGAGTGTGTTTTGGAGAAGGGAGAAGGCGTTATGGGATGGAGAGTGGCGATTGAAAGCGTGTATCATGGCGTGAAAGGGAATTGGTGTTGTTGAAGCGATATGGTGGATTGCGCGGAATGGAATTATGATAGAAATGCTTTGCGGGAATGAAATTGATTGCTCAATCGCCTTTGACTGATATTGGCATACCGAGCAGTCGTTGAGCAACGATGGTCTTGTAGTCTGAGCTGTTCGGTCAAGGTAGACTATTGCTAGCGAGAGACAATGAGAGAGAGTGTAGGCAATGAT